GTGCGGCAAGCAAGACCAGGATAAGGCAATGATTCGGTTGACTTGGGCCGAGGTGGAACGAGCTCCTTTCGGTCGAGAAGGCAGATCTGTCTGGGGCCTGGTACCGTACACTTTTTCTTGTTTGTGCTGGTGAGCCCCTTGTGAAGCCGTGAAACACGAGGAACAATGACGACCTCAGAGGCAACCCTCCCTGAAACTGGCCACGCTCTCACATCCGTCCAGGTCGCTGAGCCTCGCCAGTCGCGTCCACAGCGAGGGCCAGCAGATCTGTGTCTTTGGTTTCGCAGGGCTTTGGGATTCTCTTGGGAGTTGATCTCTGTGCAAGAGGTGTGATGTTGCAGAGGGCTTGTCCCCAAACATCCTCAAGCAATGTCTCTGGGCCGCCCTGGCATGGTTTCTCCGCAAAGGCCGGACGGCAGCCAAAACACCAGATGCCAAGGCTTGCGAAGCCTCAAGCTTATTTTTTGCTTGACCTGTTTGCAGTTGTTGTCCTTCCGGGCTTGCATCGAAGCATCGAATCTATGCACGGCATGTACCACTTTCTATGATTGCAGCACTTGAGACTCTGACCGGATCCCTGAGAGTAGGGGCCACTGGGACTGGTGAAGGCAGCCTCGGTGGCTGTAGGTGCAGCTCTGCAGAGCTGCAGCTGCTCACAGCAGCTCAGCTGTTGCAGCTTCTGCAACTCAAAGAAATGTAAGCATCCCCCAATCATCGCAGGTGGGCGCCTGCTGGCTGGCAGTGTTGTGCCCTTCGAGCTACCTTCAGGCACAGTAGCAGCGGTAGCATTGTAGCAGTCTCCCCTGAGCACCGTCTGGACAGCAACCTGGCAATTGCTCGACATAGAGGTTCATTGTGCTTGGTCGGGCGAGATTGCTTTCCCATGGAGTGGCACCTGACATCGACGCTTGAGCCCTCATGCAGGCTTCGAAAGAGGGTCTTTTGCTGGCCTGCGGCTCAGACTGTGCATGCTGCATGTTTCGTCCCCGCAGGTTTCCACTTGATGACGATCAAGTTGCTGTACAGGTGCCACCTCAACGGATCCCCACCCCCTGCTGCGTGCCGACTGTCAAGCTGCGCCCGGCGCCCTGTTGACCCGTTGTGTAAGTTTGCGGTAGCCTTTTTGCTCGTGCCTTGTTGTGTCGCGCTGCTGGTTACTCGATGGTTTGCACGTGTCTGCGCATCGTAGAGCGATCAAGAATTTTCCGAAGCAGTCGTAACGAGGGATTCTCCCGCATGGCGGACAGGCTGACTACAAAGTTGTTGTGGAGCGATTGAACGATGAGGTGTCAGCACGCAGTCTGCGTGCTGCAGAGAGCCAATGAAGGCGGCGATGCCGGAGCATTGGCAGAGAATAGCCAGATGAGACATGAGTTGATGACAGGATGTGCCAGTCTACCTGGATGGGCAGTGCATCGGCAAGAGTGACGAAAACGGACTTGTCGTCCACCTGCCACAATTAGTTGCGCTTGTCTTGGTGATTAGCATGTCTCGAGAACCGCGGACATTGCTGCAGAGTCGGCTTGTCGGGACAGTGGTGCCATGTATGGTGAACTTGGTGTCGAGAAGGTTTCGCAGAGTCTTCTCTGGGAGTGCCAGGAAGTCTTCGCGAAGCCCGGCCGTCGCACGTCGTCGCCCGAGCCGTGAAATGCCGTGAAATAAAACACATGCCAGCGGGTGGAAGCGAACCCGACGGGGTTCTGTCAAGGCTCCAGTCGCCGAGTGCCGGGGCTGAAGCAGTCGAGGTCACGCTGACAGGTAAAGGCGGGGTTGTGTGGAGCACTTCGGTTTGCCGAGGCGGCTGTACACATCTGTACACCGCTTGAGTGCGTTGCTTGCATGGAAACGACACAGCTGCGAGGCGAGCACGTGCTGCTCTGCGCTGGGAGTGTTTACTTATTTTTGCAGGCCGGCTCCGGATTCTGCTTACAGGTCATACGGGGGAGGGAGCCCCGGTCCTGGCACTCCCTGTTCAGGCTGAAGGCTCCGAAGGCCCCACTTCAGAATGGAAGTTGAAGCCCGGAGCCTTGGAGGAGAGCTCGCGTCGAGCCCGGAGCATCCCATTGGCCCAGGATGACCACCGATCTGAACCAGATCCCGGAGGCCATAGGATCATAGGACCATGGATACCATGGGCTGTGCCTTTCTGTTTGGGATCCTTCCGACTCGCTTTTCGCCACAGAGCCAGGATGCCTCGGACTTCCGGGGCAAGGTCTGCTTCGACGATGATCATCCCTTCCAGGCATTTCTTCCCAACCAGTCTAGATGCAAAACGGCTCAAAACAATCTGAGTCTGAGTCTGACTGCAGGTCATCCGATCCTGCTTCCATCCACTCACCGTGCCTGGCGGAGAGCCATGCCTTGGACTTGAGACGGCTTCTGCATGTGGGGACTGGCAACAAGCACTGCCCACTTCGTCGACGAAGCGCAGCACGACAGTGCGGTCACAGCGTCCCTGATCCAGGTCCCCCACTGTTTCACTCCTTGCGTCCGGAGGCGCTCAGCGGCGCGTGCGGGTCCAAGACTGACCACGGGACGGGCTGCTTTGACCGCCGAGCGCGCACAGGAGGTTCGAGTTCAGCGAGGAGGGGCGATCCCGGCTCGCGGGCGACAAGTGCAAGGCCTGATCCGCTTGTGAAGTTCTTCTTCAAGGGACTGAGGCGAAACCGTTTCGCTCTCTCGAACATTCAACAGGGCGGGGAGGTGCTTGCATTGGACTTTTGTAGTGGAGGGTGCACGAAACTTTTGCCAGCAACTTCTGCTCTCTGGCCTTCTAGATGGGTCGAGGAGAATGGCTAGATCTCGGGTTTGGAGCAGACGATGTGTTGCACAAATCCTCGTTTAGTTCGCAACGGCTCAGGCCATCCGAAGACATGTCGTGAGAGCTGCGCGGTAGAGGTGTGCTTGGGTGACAGGTCAGCGACCTCATCGGGGCAGTTGTGAGCCTGTGTCCTAGAGTCCTGGTGACGAGTGTCGAGACAGTGAAGTTTTCTGAGCATGGCATGTCTTCTAGACTAGCGAAGTTGAGCTCATTGGTGCTTCATGTCTTCGTCCTGACCAGCTCTGGGAACGTTCTTCGACACCGTCGACACGTTGGCGAAAGGCCAGCCAAGATGTTCGGCAGAATGCTGGCCTGGGAGGGAAGCCGCATTGCTTTGGCGCAGATCAATCGTGGATGCAGGAAGCTGATGTGGTTTCAGCAGTATGACTGTGTTAGCTCTGTGGGTTTCTTGGGTCGGCGCGCTTCAAGTTTGCGCTTTAACCTCGGTGCCCGTTGCGAAGTTTTGCTTTCAAATTGCTTCCGGCTCCGAAAGAATGGCAGATGCCGAACAAAACATGTGGTGCATCGAGTCCAATAGCCATACTATATACTAGGTACTCTATACTTTATATACTCTCTCTCTCTCTCTCTATATATATACATACATTCATGTTCCGCTTGCTGGGTCAGGTGCTGTGCAGCCGCGGTCAAAAAAGGCCCGGGAGCAGGGTTACCAGAGGCCATGCGGCACGGAGGCTGTTTCGAGGCTGACTTCGAAGGGTTTTGGGGGTTTTGGTGTTTAGGGGGTACGATCCGGCCCGCCATGGCCCGGCCCAGTAGCGCAGCTTCCAGAACGGCGAGATTTCTGGAAGCCTGGCGGTTTAGAATTGGGCATTGCGATTGTCTTTCTCCTGGCTCCGAAGCCTACGTTTTGTGGGAGTTGGACCTTGCACTGACAATTTCACAGGAGGCCAGGAGACTCCAAATTTGGGGTTGCCAGTAAGTTGCCCTGAGCGATCTGCGCTGCTCAGATGGCCGACTTCGCCTTCGCACCGCGGCGGCGCGGCCTCGGGCAGCGAGCCTGAAGGAGCTTAGCGGATTTTTTCATCCTGGGGAACTCTCTTTAATTGCAGCTCTGCTCTGTGCAGACGGGTGCAGACGGGTGCAAACTCAGCAAATGACTCTCATCGACGCCAGTGGCCTGTGTTGCTCCACTAGAAATGTGCGTTCAATCATTCTAGTCGTGTGGCAAGCCGTCTGAAGCAGAGACCACTTAAAGACCCTGGCCGAGCAATACATGGCTGCTGTGGTGGTCAAAGACATACCGCCGGCACACGTCTCACACGAGGATCATCTATGGCTTTCTGAAGCTTTCTGCAAAAATCGGTTGCTTCACAGATCGCAGTCCGGGCCGCTTCGTAGACGGCACAGGTGACTGCCTGGGAGCTCTCCGCAGCTGTTGTTAGTTTTGTCCGCTATGAGCCAACCAGAAAGAGGCACAGCGAAGCTACTCAGCTCCGACTCCCCCAATGAGGAAGAAAACATGACTACTTGTAGTGAAGTCAGGGAGGAGCAGAAATGGCAAGCAGATGTCTCCCTGAGACACCCCTAGACCCAGCGTATGGGACAATCATCACCCTCGGAACACTTATCGATGCGCTGAATGTGATGAACACCAATGCCAAGCGCAAGCGGGAAGGGTCCGGCGGCCCAGTTGCAGCTGCCGATTTGTGATCATGCCCCTGTATCAGATTCAAGTTCTGCTCAGCAGGATTCTTCCACACGACCTGTCGGGATCTCAGCGACGGCTTGGTCCATCGATGGCTTGCCTCTGCGCAGTTCTGTTGTACCAACGAGGCCAGAAGGCCAAGCAGGGGTGGAGGTCTTCAGAGCTGCGATTAAGGCTCCTCAGTCCGGGCGCTCGAGCACATGATGACTCACACAACAACTTCAAGCCAATGTGCAGGATCTAGACACCAAGTCCCAGTCGAAGATCAAGAATCTTACGGACCCGAGCTGATCTGTCAGTGTCAGGGCTTACTAGTTACTTGCAACAAAGCTTGCCGACTTGCAAGACTTATGTCAGGAGACGTCTGCCAAAATGGCTCTGCCATTTTGGCCCAAGATCGTGGACCGTGGGTCCTTCAAAATTTGAAACCCGCTCCCGCTTTCTCCCTTGCGACTGTCGACCATGGCACTCACCCCCGTTGCTAATGTCGATGACGTCCTGGCCTCCAGCATGGAGACGGTTGAGAGTTTGATCCCCCCTCGCGACACAGGGGACAGTGATCAGGAATGGGAAAAGCCGGACGACGAAGTTGCTTTGGCTCGTGCTACCTTGGCCCACAATGTCCATGCCCACGAGGATGAGTCGGCCAATTCGGCATTGGCTTCCTTCACGACTTTGGAGGTGGATGACACCAGCATGGACTTGCGACTCCAGGAAATGGAAGCTGCCATGAAAAGGCTGTTGGCCAAGGGCAGCGAGATGGTGGCGGTCAAGGAGGACACCACCATGGACACCACGGGATCGGAGGTGCCCACCACAGGTGACTTTGTCCCTGAGGGTGCTGCTACTGATGACCCCATGGACAAGCCGGCGGTGCCAACCACAGGTGACTTTGTCCCTGAGGGTGCTGCGGCGGATGACCCCATGGATAGGCCCGAGGTGCCAACCACAGGTGACTTTGTCCCTGAGGGCGGCGACACGGTGGCCAAGGACGATGCCAACAAGCCCCGGCCCTACTCGGCCCTGCCCGCCGGCACCCTGGAGGAGAAGGTCTTCAAAATCGAGGGCTTCCCGGACAACTTCCCCGGCATCGGCAAGAAGAGTGCAGACTGGGCCCAGCAATTGACAAAGGAGGAGATCGCCTCCTTGTTCTCCGAGCTCAAGGCGGAGCAGTGGAGCCGCCCGGCTGTGGAACGAGTCCTTGAGGTGTACCAAATCTACAAACGACAGCTGGCACAGGAGAAGATGCTGGCCGCCCCCTACAACCGTGCTCGCAGAGGAGTGGGGCACAGCAGCATGGGCCAACTTGACCCGGGCAGCACGGGGGCTACCCTCATGTGCCCGAACTGCTTCTCCGACTGGCAGAGGCAGGACAACAAGGTGGAGGGGAAGTGTAAGCTCTGCCAGAAGTTGGTCATCGCCGTGGACAAGGGCCCGCCTTCGGCAGAGATCAAGCTAGGCCAGTCCTCCTGGCGAATGTTCTGTGGCCCCCAGGGTGTCACGTGGCACACGGATGCCGACGAGGCCCAGAAGGAAGCCGCCTCCGTGGACATTGGCTCTTGGGCCCAGCCGCCACCCAGGCCCACGGATCAGAAGGAGCTGAGCTTCGCCGACCAGGTGCCTATGGCCCTGAGGCTTAGCTTGGCTCACACGGTGGCAACACAGCCCTTAGTTTGCCGACAAGGAGGCAGGGGACAGACCCCACCTCCGGGGTGATTGGCAACCAAGCCAGGAGACGAGGGCTTTCCATCCCCAGCTGGCGGCGGCGATGGACATCATCAAGAAGAGCTCGGGCCCGGTGGACAAGCAGCCCAAGAAGCCCACGGAAGAGGAGTTCTTGGATCACATCAATCCCCAGCTGGATGTGATCGTGGAGATGCAGGCTGGCGCACAGAGTGTCGAGGAGGCAAAGGGTGCGTCAATCCTCCGGCAGCTGGATACAGAGAAGCTTCGTTCCCTCCTTAAGCGAAATTACCTGCAGGGCCCTGGGAATCAGGGTGACGAGTTTTTCGCTGCGCAGACTAGCCTGGAAGAGGCCAAGGCCTCGAACAAGCGCATGCAGGATGAGGGATCCCAGCGCTCCCAGCTCCTTCGGCCGGTGGCGGACTCCATTGATGCCTGGGGCACCCAGCTGCGCGCGGCCCTGGAGATGAACGTGTTCAACCCGGAGTGCCCGCTCAAGGATATGGAGCTTGACGACATCGAGGCCCTTAAGGAAAGGTACTTGAACACGAAGTTCCTGCTGAACCAGAGCAGGAATCCGTTCCCTGCCTCTCTTCTGCAAGAGCTTCCCACTTTGGCCGCTCTGCAGCGTGAGGGCGAGCGCGTCGCCCGGGACTCCGGCGAGGGGCTGTCTTCCACAGGTGCCTTTGGCCCTGAGGAGCAGTCCCCGGAGGCAGTTCTGGGAGTTCCGGTGGGCTCGGTCGAGTTCCAGATGCTTCGCCTCAAACGCATCATCGAGCTGCACATGGGGGAGCAGCGCATGATCGGGGGCAGATGGAAGCAGCACCCGGGGCCCCTTGAGCCCCCTACGTGGGCAAAGCCCCTGCCCGAAGGGGAGAAGATCATGCTGGAGATGAGGACACACCCCAGCTCCTTCAGGCAGCCCTTCTTCGAGCCGATTGCCCTCACCATGGAGGAGATTGAGGCACAGGTTTCAATGGGCACGAGGCCCCCCCTGGATAAGATCATCCGCCCGTTCCATGCTGAGGGGGACGGGAACACCCACTGGAGAAAGGAGGTGCAGACGTGGGACTTGGTTAGCCTCTTCTCCTGCTTCGGCCACACCTACTCGGCCAGGCACCTCTACGCGGTGTGGAGCCACCTGCCGATCACCGTCAGGTCCCACAAGAGAGGGGCCAAGAACAAGCAGCAGAACCTGCAGCGACGAGAGGACCACCGGGATTTGATGAAGGAGGCCAAAGAGTTTGTGATTCTGCACGACCTCCCGGTGCCCACGACAAACCAGGAGTGGAAGCAGCTCTCCCTGTTGCTGACATCCATGACTCCAAGCAGCACATGCGACTGAGAGCCGTATGTGACGAAAGGATCACCCTTCCTTTGAAGGCCTTCCGCCACTTCCCGGAGATCTACAACATGCTCTCCAACTCGCTGGGTCAAGAGTCGGTGGTGGAGGTCAAGATGGCGTGGCGCTGCAACACCGTGCAGTGGTGGACAGCCCGCCTCAAGCCAGAGTACGCCGGCCCCATCTACCGCAAGCTTGGCTACTCGGAGAGCCACATCAAAGGCCTCGGCTTGGGGGACAGGGACTCCTCAGCTGCCTTTGGCGCTGAAAGGATCCCCCTGGACCCGGCGTCGGAGCAGGAGCGCGCTCTCCCGCCCATCACCCCGGACAATGTCACGAGCGTGGCCTCGGACGACTACAAGAAGAAGAACGCGGGGGATAAGACGGCCCACGTCTTCTGGGCCAAGATGGAGTGTGGCCTGGTCCTCAGCTCCGTTTCCCCGTGGGAAATCGTTGACAAGAAGAAGGGTGAGACTCGTGGGGGCTACGTTTGCCGCCACTGCAAAGGGTTCTGGCGAAGTGGCAGAGGGGCCAGCCGTTTCCTTCTCATCACGGGGGAACACAAAGGGAAGTCGGCCCAGCTCCAGCTCATCCTGGACGAGCCCCCCCAGCACCTCTACGAGTCCTGGGTCAAGGACCGGATCGAGTTCTACAAGAGGGTTGAGCCCACGGCGGCCCCCCGTGATCGCTCCCTCCGGGTCAACCCGAGCCTTAGCTCCAGGCTCCGGTTCAGCAAGACGAACCTCATGGGCCAGGTTTCCGACATGATCTGGTCGGTGGTGCTCTCCAACCCGGAGCGGGATGGCCTCAAGAAGATCCACGAGCTTGCGGCATCCCGGGTCCGCCCGGCCTGAGCCCTGTTTTCTTTTTGAACAAGGCATGTGGAGGGGAACCCCTGCCAGGTGCCTATGGCCCTGAAGGGGGTCTCCTCTCCCTTCGGGCTGCTGTAGCTTTTCTTGAGGTCATGTGCCTTGGGCCCTGAGGGGGAATGTCTTAAGTTCTAGTACCTACACTACTCAGGACTTGGGCCATGTCACAGGCCTTTACTTCGGCAACAGGAATGCCCTCAAGGGGGGGGGGGTGGGACCTCCAGGCGCCTTTGGCCCTGATGGTTCCCCCCTTCCCCGACAAGGGAACGACTACTTGCCAGACCGTCGGCCTACAGACCTTCGCCCCGTGCGAAAACAAGTGCCCTTGGACTGCATTGGTTTTTCTTCTCTCTCTCTCTCTCTCTCTCCCTCTTCCCTTCCTCTCCTTCTCCCGTAGTCGCCGTGGCTCAGGATGACTACCTTTGTATTTTGTTGCCCATCTCCCTTTGGGAGGGCCCTTGTTAGGGCCCCTGACCCTCTCATCTCTGCTCTCTTTGAGCAAGGCATCGGCCCCCTTCAGTCGGATGGCGAGATTCTTGCAGGAGTGTTACTAGACCCGATCATCAGGGGGTCGGGTCGCTCCTTCGAGGAGGAACAAGTTGATGTGACACGTCCCTGGGGGCAAGAAATGATTTCATGGCCCGTTGTAGGCCTACCCAGGAACTGGATCGTGTATTAGGTGTCCCCGATGGGCCACCACGACCGGTGGTTCTTTCATACCGCCCTACACTGGTCTTCCAGCTTATTGTGGAAAGAGCTCTCTCTCTCTTCTCAGGCCCCACGGGGGAGGAAGATGCTCAGGGGATCCTCACCTCTCTCTGGGACTTTTGCACTAAGGTCGCTGCAGGCACTCCCTCTCACATGTTTACAGAGGTGATCCAACGAAGGGCAGAACTAGACCGCTGTGAGTGGCGCGAACTACGAGAAGGGATCTTGCTGGCCCCCTGTACGGTGAGCCGGTGGCGCCACTGGAAACCGGGGAATGTCTCCGAGCACCATTCTACCAACCAGAGGGCCCTGGAGCGTGGCCTGCGGGAGAAATGGGGGGAAAGGCTCCTCTCTTATCTCCTCCCGGCTGCTGGACAAATCCCGCACATGGCGGCTATAATGCCCTCAGGCACCACCCTCATCTCTCTCGAGCTCAAAGAGGAGTTCATGGATCTCCTGGGTGATGCTAGGTTCCGCACCCTCAGAATGAGATGCCTTTCCTATGAAGAGCTCAGGCGCCTTGGCTTCAAGGCCATACCATGGAAGGAACATGACGTTCGTGCCCTCCTCAACACTCTCCGTGATCAGGAGGTGTCTCCTCACAAACTTCAACAGGTGTGGGACACCCTCAAGTGGTTTGGTAAGAAGTTTGGGCTCCTTGCGGTTGACGAGGTCTTTCGGCTCACTGAGAAGAAGAAAGCCCTCTCGGAGTCCCTCGTTAGCACAGTGCACCGTCCGATGCGGAAAGCCCAGGTCCCCTCTAAGTCCTTTGTGGTCCAGGCGGAAGAGGTCGCGGCTCGCCCGCTTTCGAGCTCGGCCACAAGAATTGAGCTCATGGATGCCTTTATCTGTGGCATTGCAAGGTTCCAGCTGGGCTCCAGTGCCCGCTTTAGTGACCTTCAACACACTAGCCCAGATACCCTCAAGGTGACCTCCACAACCATTGAGTTTTCGGCCTGGCAGACCAAGACCCACTCGGCGGTGGCGATTCACAAAAAGCCGGTCCCACTCATCTGCCCGAAGTACTCCTTCTCGGGCAAGGACTGGTGGACTCCTCTCCTCTCCACTTGGCGCAAGCTCTCGGCGACCCCTATGTTTGAGGCCATGGACTACCTCATCCCGACCGTTGGCAAGGACTATGACGGCTTCATTGCCAGGCCCGCCACCTCGCAGCGCGCCCTGAACTGGCTGCGCTCGGCCATGTCTCGGCAGGAGATCGACAAGGCCCTGTGGGAGGGCCTCACCTGGCACTCTTTCCGGGTGTTCATGCCTGACTGCGCCTTCCAAGCACACGTCCCTCGCGACCAACGGCAGTACCTTGGAAACTGGATGGCGGAAAGTACTGCGGATGTCTACACCCGTGGTCTGCGCCATCTGGGAGAAGGTCACCTCGAACCTAGATCAGATCGACACGGCGGGTACCCGCACTTCAGTCATTGATCTCTCCCGCGAGGAACCGCAGCACCTGCGCTCCCGGTCTCAGGTGCCAGCGGCCCTGAAAGAGGGAGCCCTCCGCGTTCAGTGAGGGACTCATCCACTCCTTCTCGCCATGCAGACAGCCCGGCGTCGAGCTGGCTTATGACGCAGATCCCGGCGGACGAAGTGCCTCCGCCTCAAGGACCTCTCACGCCTGTTTCCACCAAGGTGGCCCGAGGCAACAAAAAGCGGATCCACCTCTTGAATCAGGACCTCCGGGCTGTGGGTTGCGGTTGGAGCCCCTCTATGGACAAGGTGGAGGCCCTTAATGCCATAGATTATCAGGGCGACGTGAACTCCTACAACCTGTGTGCGAGGTGCTTCCTTCAGTTCTCCTTGCCGGCAGAGTTTCGAGCGGGGGATGCTCCCCCCGCGGGAGATTCCAGTGAATCGGCCTCCTCAGGTAGCCTGACGGATGACTCTGTGGACACGGCATCGGAAGCGGAGAAGGTCACCTACCAGGACCTGGATAGGGCTCTGGCCTCCAAAGGCCAGCCTTAGATGGACGACATCTTTCAGTTTTGGGGTTCTTTTGTGCCGCCCATCCTTCGGCTGTGGCTTCTTTCTGGACGGCACAAAATTTTGGAACTCTTTTCTGTACAAGGAGGGTTCCCGATCCACAGGTGCCGTAGGCCCTGAAGGAGGGGACCCTCCTGTGTTTCGAAACGGCCTCTTTCTTGGCTGAGGTCTTCGACCGAAGGAACATCCCGGGAGTCGGCAGCCACACCAATCCACCATGCAAAAGAGGGCTTGCGTGCATGGTTTTTGGTTGCCATTTTCATGCGGATATCTGACATTAGTTACTTGCAACAAAGCTTGCCGACTTGCAAGACTTATGTCAGGAGACGTCTGCCAAAATGGCTCTGCCATTTTGGCCCAAGATCGTGGACCGTGGGTCCTTCAAAATTTGAAACCCGCCCGCCCTTCCCCATGGCTGCCTTAGCCAAACCTCCCGAAGCCATCCCAGATGCTTATGCCGACGACATTGCAGAGCTGCACTCTTCTGTCTCCACCCTCTTGGCAAGGAAACAGATCCCCTACTCTGTCCAGGCAGCCCTGGCCAAGGAGGGCTACATTACTCTGGAAGACATCGCCGACCGCTGGGATGATGCGTCGGCTGCCAGAACCAATGGCCCTAGGGATCTAGGTTTTGCTAGCGGGACCAATGGCTTCACAGATCAAAGCAGCGCTTTCACTGCCATGCGTCTCTTTCAGGCAATCAAAGCGGCTAAGGAAATGACCAAGAACCTCTATGCACCTCGATCCAGTGTCACGCCTGGCCAGGCTTCTTCGGATCGATCAGGCCTCGAAGTGCTTTGTGACCGACATCAGCTCCTCACGGATTGGACTAAGGAAACGGGGCTCCCGAAGCCCAAACTTGAGGCCCAGGGAAGTGACAACCTTCTCAAGGCGCAGTTCCGCTTCTGCTCCAAAGGAGAACTCGGCTTCATCAATGCGAAATACATCATCAGTGCCTTGCCAGAGCTTGAAGAGAAGCCTTTCAAGACAAGGCGAAAAGTGACAGTAGACGGTTGGGATAAAGAAGAGGAGGAAGAGGAGCGGAAGCTCCCGACCACTCGGCGACACCTGGAAAGGATGCACCGCGTCTTCCGCAACAATCTTTCGATGTGTCTTCTTGCTTTCCCCCAGTTCTCGCAGTTCGATGCGTCTAAGCATGACCTGGATGATTGGTATGACTGGTTCTGGGGTCCGGACATTGCGGGGCGGACTCCAGCCCCGTCGGAGAAAACTCTCCTTTACGCTGAACGAAACGCGTGGAGAGCCATCCACAATCTGGTCTACGAGGGCAAATCGCTCAAAGAGGCCATGATGGAAGTTCGTGCTGATGCCCTCTTCTGGACAAGGGAAGTCTACGAGCGCGTGCCTCGGCCTGGGGAGAAGGGTCCGAAGGGCACTCCGAAGGGTGAGAAAGGCACTCCCTTCGCCAAAGCCCCGGGCAAGGGGTCCTGGAAAGGCAAGCAAACCTGGCCAGCGTACCAGCCTCTGTATCAGCCCTTTCTTAAACAGCCCACTAAGGGCAAAGATGGTAAGAAGGGCACTCCCAAGGGCAAGGGCAAAGACTCCTGGCCCCAGTCTTGGTCCAGGAATAATCCTAAGGGCACCCCCTTCTGCCGAGATTATCACATCAAGAAGCAGTGCCCCGGAAACTGTGGGCGCTCCCACAACTGCCCGGTCACTAAAGACGGTTGGGTGTGCAATGCCCCTCCGAATGAGCACAGTCCGGACAACTGCCCCTACAAGTGAGGACTTCCAGTCCCAAGTGCCCTTGGCCCGGCTTAATGGGGTCCCCGACCGCCTGGTCCGGAGACTCCGATGGTCCCCCTCCGATTGCACTGCCAGCATTCCTCAGGGTGCCATAATCTTGCCATTCGCGGGCCGTGAGGATGCTTCATCCCTTGAAGCGATCCTCCATGCTCAAGCCCCAGACCTCTCCTCGAGAGTTCTGGCCTTAGATTCCTCTAGGAAGCCCCCTGGTAAGGACCTCCTTAATAACACACTGTTTGGGTCTCTCTGTGCTTCGGCGCTGCAAGGAAGCATCTCCTTTGTGGGAGGATGCCCGGACCTCAACACCTGGGGTTTGGATAGATGGTTTCAGGACTCGGGTACTCTCCAGGCAGTTAGGTCCCGCTCGGCGGAGAACGCCTGGGGGATTGCCGCTCTCCCTGAGGCAACGCTCCACTCGGCGGATGAGGAGAGCACCCTGCTCCTTAGGTTCCTTCTGCTTACATGGCTTGCCTTCAAGGCGACTTCGTCTAATGCTCCTACTAAGGTCTTCTGTT